CTTGCCACAGGCATGACAGTGATGACGCCGCAGTGTGAGGGAGAAGTCACAGCCGCAGTTCATGCACATCATGACATGTGTGACAGGCACCAGGGTGGGAGGCCTCTCCCCGAGGCTAACCCCCAGCCTCTCTCGTATCTGCAACAACAGAATTGGCCGAGTAAGGTGGAGTGTGGCCAGGGGACCAGCCGGATGCATGGCCCAGTGAGTCCTGCCCTGCCTCTCCGTGCAGGGTGTGCGATGTGTGGGTGTATGGGTCTGATGCTAAAGGCCTCTCCTGCACCCTCCAGCATGCTCACCCTTGGGTAGGAAACAGCCAGACTATGAGAACAGGGCTGGGGGTACTGTTCTCCTTGGTTGCATGGAGGCCGCCCCTGACTTGGGTGGGAGCATGGCAGGGGTTGGGGGGAGCCAGTGCCCCAAGGGCAGGAGCCACACATTCATGTGGGTGTGAGTGGCGACAGCAGTGTCCACCCAGGGAACCCCAGGTCTCAGGCTGGTGGCCCGTGGACACTGCCCACCTACTCACCTCCACGCTGTGGTGGAACACAGCCAGAGCCTGAGCCTTGTAGTCCTCAGGAAGAGCTCTGCTCAGACAGCCATACCACTCGTCCCTCTCTGCACAGGAGCTGCAGGCATGGGCTGGAGTAAGCAAAGGCAGGAGTGGCTCTGCCTCCCACCCTCCATCTCAGCATGGATGAGGTCCTCGCTTAGCTGCTCCATTCTCCTCCCTTGAGCCTGGGCCTCTCACATTGCCCAGAACCACCACCAAAGAACAGATCACCTGCCAGATACGGTTTACTAGCAGACCACCAGTCGATTAGCTGTCCTTGGGCCTGTATCTTCTTACACTGGAATAACAACAATATTTCCCCTAACTCCCAGGGCTGCTATGGGGATAAAGGGAGATGTGGGACATGGAACCACACTGTCAAATAGCAAAACACCATGCAAAAGCAAGAGACATTAGGAAGACCCAGAGGGTCCCACACTTTAGGAGGAATGGGCTGGCAGGGGACAGAGGGCTGGGTACCTGTGGAGGATGAGGGGTAAGTGGGAGTTGGCAAAGGTAAACATCTCCGTTTCCCACCTTCCTCATCCCCCCACGTAGTTTCCCAGACAGTCATCCAGCAGGCACTTTCCAAGTCCCTGCTCTGCACCAGGGAGGGTTTCCTGAGTGGCATGAGCTATGCCTGGGCTGTGTACCCAGTAGCTGAGTGGAGTTCTCACAGTGTCCACTAGGTGCCGCACCTACACCACAGGTAATTGTGCAGCCTGCTCTGGATAGCAGGCAGAAGAGCTGCCAACCTTGGCAGGAGCAGGGCTGCGGTGCAGAGGCTGAATCAGCATTGTGGGCAGCAAGATGCCATGTCCCTAAAAGGCGATGAATGGGTCATACTGTCCCCTGCGAGCTTCAGTGTGGAGGGTCTGAACTAGCAGGAAAGTGACTTGAACAGCCCCACGTGAAGGCCCACATGTGGATCATCACCACCTTCATGTCATGGCTGGACCAACGGAAACTATACCCTGGGCTGCCTCCTGCCCTCAATTTTATCACGAGGAGAGGCGAGGCCACAATCCCCACCCAAGCCTTACCACCTCCAGAAAGCCTTCCCTCACTCCTCCAGATGGGGCAGTCCCTCCTTTGGGTTTCCAAGCCCTCTTCCTTTCCCTTATGCCATAGACTGTAATAGACAAGAGTTGTGGGCTACACAGTCCTGGGTTCAAACTCCAGTTCCACATCTCCTGGCTGTGTGACCCTTTGGCAGGCCTCAACTCCCTATGCATGGAAGGAGCTGCAAACCCCAACTCTAAGGGTGGTGATGAGGATCACGGGCGGTACCTGGGGCCAGTTTACAACTCTCCTGCCTGTAATGCAGCCTCCTGGAGAGCGCAGCAAGGGCTAAATTGTTTGTGTTCTCAGCCCTGGACCTGGCACTGAGGTGTGGCTAATAAATGCTTACTTTTTTTTTTACAGATAGGGTCTTACTATGTTGCCCAGGCTGGTCCCAAACTCCTAGCCTCAAGTAATCCTCCAGCCTCAGCTTCCCAGAGTGATAGGATTACAAGTTTAAGCCACCATGCCCCACCTAATAAATGCTTTTAATAAGAAAATGCATCTATGAGAGTTCATGAGTTCACGTGCATGAGTGGATTTATATCCCATTTCACACTCAGAACTACCTCAATTCAGGATAAACCCCCACATGATGGGCACCCCTGCCATCCCAGGCTCACATGCTTGCTGTGGGCAGACACCCAAGCCCCGGAAGCCTTGCTGACCCCTGCCATGCCCGTCCCTGGCTGAAGAGCTGCCCTTGGCTGGAGCCACACCTTTCTGGTTTCCAAGCCCCCAAGAGCTCGAGCTTACCTCACCCTGAGAGAAGGAAAGGGGGATGCTTAAGGTCATGATCTGAAGCCGGAGATCAGGATCCCAGGCAACCCAAGGGCCTGGAGAAAATGCAGACCTTTCTGATAGAAAGGCCATGTCCCCTGCTGTAGTTGGAATGTTTGTGTCCCCCCATATTCAAATGCTGAAATCCTCTTCCCAAAGGTGATGGTGTTAGGAGGCAGGGCCTTTGAGAGGTGATGTGGTCATGAATGTGGAGCCCTCATGAATGAGATTAGTGCTCATATATAAGAAGCCCCAGAGAGACCCCTGCCGCTCCCACCATATGAGGTGGTACCATCTATGTGAGAAAGCACCGTCTATGAACCAGGAAGCAGAATCCTGCTAGACACCGAATCCGCCAGTGGCTTGACCTTGGGCTTCCTGACTTCCAACCTTGAGAAATTTCTGTTGTTTATAAGCTACCCAGTTTATGGTATTTTTGTTATAGTGGCCTGAATGGACTAAGATAACCCCCAGACAGGACAAGATACATGATGAAAGCTCACTTATTTTTTTCTCTCACCTAGATAGGAAAGCAAAAAGGCCACTTTATGAACAGAAGCACACAATACATTTTTTACTTGCCTTAATTTTTCATATTGCTGTAAAGACCTGATCATCCAAAAAGAGCTCCACAAACAAGACATTTTGCCTTATTTAAGCAATGGACTCTAGAAACCCCTGGAGTTACATATAAAATTTTATGAGTATGTACACTTTTCTGTGGGAGAGAAGTTCTTATCAATTTCCCCAAAATGGT